TTGACTTACAAGTTTCATTGGAAGTCTGTTGAATATATTGTTCACATTGATTACCATCTTGTATATTTAATGTTAAACTTTGGAGAACATTTTCAGCAGTAGTTGGTGGTACTCGCATTTGTAATTTTGGAGGAAAGAAAAGTGGCTTGTAGCGTTTGATAGCGTTTGCAACGATATCACAGCTTTGAATGTTAGAATTGACTGTAAGATTATTAGGTCGAATGTAGAGTAAATCAGGGGAAACAGAGATTTGTTGTGGATGTGGCCATATTGCATTTGGTGGTGAACGTTCTCCCTAAAATCGAAATAATTATTTGAATCTTTGCACGATTTAGAAAGAAAAATCTTCAATTTTACCTGTAATGGTAAACGAACGGCAATGAATTCAATTTCACTCAACGTAATAGTTACCAAATAAAGCCATAGACATATTGAATATATTATGAATTTCATCATGTATTAGAGCAATATGTTGTAGTTCTAGATTACAAAGATGTGTTCTGTAAATGTATAAATCTTCATGAGTATTTATTCACACTCATATAAAATCCATTAACACTCTATAAAATGATAACACATACGATATTGATCCTGCTCTTAAGATCGTTTTTCTTTTATTGCGAGTATATACTTAGTATTAATTTTATTGATATTTTTTAGTATTACTCTAGATATCAGTATGATGAAGTCGAAAAAAATCTTGTTTTCGCTAATCTTAAGCAATCAAATGATGATCTTTGCGAGCGATAGAGTTTCAAATGAATATATAGATGGGATGAAGCAGGTGTTAAATATTTGCATTTCTTTTTTTTTGCTATAGGATTTGATATTAAAACGAAACATGAATATTAGTAGTTGTGAGTCAACTATGTGAAAGGTGCACAAAAAGTAAAAGTTAGTTCTATATAAAGATAATTTAATATTGCTAGATAGGGAAGCTCTCGTCTGAGAATGAAATACTTCTATTATTCTATAAATAATCTCATATTCCTTATCTAATTCACACAGACAATAAAATATTTTTATAAGTAACTCTTTTCAAGTTCATATACGTGTTAATCAATTTTAAAAATGAGAGGCTGATGGCTGTATATCTCCTAGAAGAACGTAATAAAATAAGAATAAAAAACAGGGGTATATAAATCATCTAGTTTGATAATCAAAGAGTAAAACGAAAGAGGTAGAGTTTTATTATGGACATATATCTTATATATCAGTTGATTTTGAAATTAAATTTAACGACAAGCAAATAGTATAACTCGTAATCATGGCATGTATATTGTAATTTATATACATACCAGTAATCTATTCTATAGATTCATAAATAATTTCACTTACAGATAAAGTTCAAATTGATTTCAATGCAAAACTTTCCTTTGTTTTTATTAATAGAATCAAATTACACGACGAACTAGCCGTGTATATATAGATAATATATAAAAAAAAAGAAACGAAAACATCACTGTTCTTAATTTTAAAGAGAGAAAAATATGCAAGATAAAATAAAGATTGCATAAAGTGCGTAATATATTCTAGAACTGAATAGCCTAGAAGAATTCGATGGAGTAGTTGTTGGTAAGAGTGTACTTGCTGCCGTTGTCGTAACAACCCAAACAGGATTTTCATAATTAAATGCTGGATGATTAACCATTGATCTAGGCATACCTAATTCATAGTTTCCACAGTAACCATTTAGAAGTGGCTGAGCTGGTATTCCTCGTCTAATATAAAAAAAATGTTATTTTAGTTTTCATATTTAAATATTATTAACCTTAATAGACGACATCGATGAACATCCTAAAATAGAGAAAAATGTATGAATTGAAAAGAATACTAGTGAGATAAATAGTTTACTAATCGAAATTGTGCATCTTCAGAATTATTAACACTTGCAGCACTCCATAATCGTTCAGCAACGGCAGATGCCTTTGGCCATAAACGAGGAAGTAAATTAGTACCATCAGCGAATTCTGCCCACAAACAAGCTTCTCCACCTAAAATACGTTTTCTTGCTTCATCTGATCCTATAAATCAGCAAATCAATAAAGTTTAATTATGTATTCAATCAAGATTTTACCATTAAATTCACGGAATGGTTCAACTTCATAATATTTAAAAAATTCCAAATTCATAACAGATGTATTTGTCACGTATGAGCCATAACTAACAAAATTAAGATACCAAGGAGAAGAAAGTATAACATTGTAACCTTGATTGGCTGCTTGATTTAAATATGATGCCCATGAATCCATGTCACTGCTAGTACTCTTATCTTTCCATACTTGTATAATAGTACCCTCTGGTAACTAAATAACAAATGATCGAAAAGAAATTATCTACATGATTATTTAAATCTTACTTCAACTTTTTCGTCCCAAACATCTTGCCAAACAATTGGTGTAGAATTGATATTACGCATAATATTTAAAATACGATCTGCATAATATGTATGAATACCTTTTGCATCTGAAATGCCCATAGTTTGCATCCATTGAGTAATATTAGGATTAGAAAGCCTGAACAAAATCAACATTATTAAATCAATATTTCCAA